AAGGTAGAAGGTAACATATTAGGGAAAAGTTTCAAGAAATAAGAAGTAAGAACTCCATGAAGGTGACAATAATGAAAACAACAACAGGAACAAGATGAAAGATATATGTTGTTGTTCGTGTTAGTTGTTGTCTCTCTTCTGGAAAGACTCTTTCCACCTACAAGCTTAAGAAGCAATCTTGAACTAATCTTCATAATGTATCTCACAATTAAGAAATCTTAAGGATTTCAACAATAATATCATTGCACATTAGTACAAAATGTCTACAAGCAGAAAAATGCTTTGATTTACTTGTGAGCAGAAAAATGCTTTGATTTACTTGTGAGCTTTCATGGATAAGTCTTGGGGATAGAACTTCCATGAAAAAGCTTGTAAACAAAAGTAAAGAGCCAATTCATTGCCATAATTACTGTTGTACTAAGGAAAATAATTAGCACAAACAATATCCAAATTGCTTATTTCAATTGTGATTTTCTATTGTATCTGAAAGAACTTATTTTGAATTTGCTATGAAAGACGGAAACACGATCAGGCACTTTTATTTCAATCAAATGGTAAACTCCTATTAAGATGTATTTATTAACTTATCTGCTCTTAGTAGATCTTATTTTGAATTCTCAGAGTGTGTAATTTTGGTATAATCCTTAGTTCGTACTTCTAACATGTCCAACGAAGAAAAATTCAAGGATTATGATGATCATATGATTCGAGACTACATTAAAACATAACAAATTCAAAAACACATAATGATATAATGTAACGCCTGTGTTTCTGGGCCTGTCATTAATGATGATATAATAGTCTAGGTTAACCTTTGTAACCCGTTATGAAATAATAGAAGTGTATTATTTGAGTATTATGTGTTTTGTGCTTAATTGCTTCATTATGTGATTTGATTAATTAAGAATAAAAATAAGCGTCAAATTTAAGTGTAAAATAAACTTGATATCTTTAGATAATGTTGTAGTAGTTGAAACAAGGTTTCCGAAAATATAAAGAATGCCGAAATCCGAGTTATAACGAAGAAGTTATGACCTTCGAAGTTTCGTGACAGAACCGGCAACACTGAATGACGTAAAAAGTGAAATTTACGTTAGAGCCATATTTATCCTTAGTGATCTAAACGAGAATCGAAGATCTCGTTGTTAGTATCGAAGCGATAAAAAGTTAGACGAGAACGGACGTCAAATGAAGAAGTTATGAATTTATAACGAAATTTTCTGTCCCGACCTATTAAAAATAAATAATAAAAATAAAGTCAAAATTAGCCGACAGAGTCTAAACGAAAGTTGTAGAGCGTAGTCTCACCATCACGTGGATATAAAGAACGTCAAAAATGAAGTTCGTATGAAGAAGATATGACTTTTCGAAGTTTATTAAATAATTAATAATTAAATTTAATTATTAAATCCGACATTATCCGAAGAGGAGTCACCGGACTCATCCGAAGTACACCCCGCGTACTTGTGTACGCCCCACGTACCCGAGGTATGTCGACACTCGCACTCGAGTTATTCGGATGACGCATGCGCTTACGTTTCGGAGCAGTACGCCCTGCGTACTGCGAGGCCTCAGCCTCCTATAAATAGGATGCGATGGCAGCCGGCTCTTTTTCTATTTTTCTCCCTTCCTCTCCCGTTTTGCATCGATTTGCGTGCCAGAAAGTACCCCGAAGCCCAGGTAATATTCCCGAGACCCGAAGCAAGTCCCGAGATCCCGAAGATCCCGAGAAGTGCGGTTCCCGAGCCGAAGCTCTGCCGCGAGAAGTTCGATTTTTGTAGAGATCTTCCAGATCTACTGAGGATTACTACTCCTACGAGCCGTAGTGCTGTTCGATCATCTTTGATCAAGTGAGTGTATAATACCTTTCATAAACACAATAATAATAC